CTATTATTCCCCTGATTACGAATACTCCCTTACATCATTCAGCAAGGTAGCGCCCTTCCCCTAACTGTCAGAATCAAACAGGGCTTCCCACGGAGTATCCAGAACACCCACATACCTTCGGGCCACCAAGCTACGCACCTTATTCCCATTGCCCGAACCAAGATCTTGGTTTACACCTTATATAGCAATGATTGATGTCATTATTTGCAACGCGAGTAACTGTCTTTGCAGTTGCTTTGACAATTCTGAACATTGACCAACTAAATGCATTGTATGATTTCAATATCAGACACTGTATATGTATATAACATTCGGCTTGTCTGTGTAACGTCATACAAGTACACAGAACATTCACCTGAAATACAGTTCATTGAACGAATCTACATTTGCATTTCTTTCGTGAATCAGTATATGTACGCCAATAAAAGGCAAAATAGCTGTGAGCATGATTTGAATGGACCAGTAATGAGTGAGTGAGTGAGTATGGTTTTACGCCGCTTTTAGCAATATTCCAGCAATATCATGGCGGGGGACACCAGAAATGGGCTTCACACATTGTACCAATGTCAGGAATCGAACCCGGGTCTTAAGCGTGACGAGCGAACGCTTTAACCACTAGGCTACCCGACCACCTCGGACCAGTAATGACACCGGGTGTTGGCAAAAAGGCTAATGATGTCCTGCAGCGTCAAAGTGGGAATGAGTTTTAGTTCTCTCAGGACCAATAGGCAGAGGTGACAATGAAAAATCAATCCATTTTCTTAACATGAACAAATTCGTTTATATGGATTGCATATCACTAGAGTTTAATCAATCAAACCTAATTCAGAAAAAAGTTTTAATGTTGTATTGGACAATTACGTTTTCACTGATAGATAAAAAGGAGGAATGACTGTCCCATTGCATTGAGAAAGGATGTTTAGGATCATATAATTACAGTGGACTCTCTCGATATTTAGTAAATGTCATTTGGTTTAATCTATCCTTGAATCAAGAATACATTACATGCCATAATAAATGAGTGTTGGGCACATTTTCGAAAATGAACGTTTAACAGATGGTAATATGTTTGTCTTCTGCTCGTTGTTTTAAGAATAACCAAGAATAAAACACCTGGAACATTGGTTTTATAGATTTTCGTTAAGGTAGAATTAAGCTTAGCTATATTTTGTATGAGTTACTGACGAATACTACACGTGTTAAACAGTTCCTAATTCTTTAGGTAAAACAATTTTCGAAATACATTGCGTCAACAACAGAGAATTATAATAGTGTCCATTATCCTCTGAAACAGATTCCATTGGGCGAAAAAGGCAAACCGGCGGTATATAAACAACAGCAGATTGACTAATGGTATTTGTTGAGGCCTTTTTTAAATATTTTTCATAATGTTTTGCACTCTGCAACATTCCAGCTCTATGACGACGGCCTGTATATAATTGAGCCAGGACCACAAACAAGTTATCGATATTGTGAACAACAACCCACGCCGTTGGAGTACGATTAAACGTAATTAACCAAATCAGCGAGCCTGACCACTCGATCCATTCAGTCTCCTCCTACGACCAGCATGGATTGATGGACATTTTTTAAACCCGGTGTCCCCGAGGATGTGTTAATAAATTAGAAAGTTCAAGAAAGTATTAATTGTGGACTGAGAAAAGATTTGTTACAAATGGAATAGATGATATCATCCTGCTCTGGTTTGCATACTACCGTAAACTACGTATATTATGAACACGCTTATAAAGAACTGACCAATATAACCATTTGTTGCATATATGCTGTGTATATGCTTACAACGAACTGAAGTTATAACGAACTAAAATAAGTGGTCCCTTTGAACTCGTTATAACCATAGTATGAAGCATTAATGATGTTTGAAAGCAAAATATTTACAAAAACTGTTTTGTGGTTGGGCTGGGTTGCATATCTTTTTTCTTCAAAAGACACTATTGTGTAGAAAATAATAACAATAATTCCCACCCGAAACCGTCAATGTGTGATTTTGCATCAAAATGTAAATATGAAATGTAGATAATGTAATGGATTTAATGAGACTGTCCAACACATTGTCAGTGGATGCCCAGCTTGGCACAAACACAGTATCTTAAACGACATGATGGTGGAGCTCAATCATTTTATTACCGTCGTCGCAACCTTTGTGGTTTTGACACAGAGGTCCATCCATGGCACGACCCAGTATATGCAGAGGGCGTCATGGAAAATGATAAATACAAAATGCTTTGGAATAGGCCCGTGTACAGCCTCAGACGTATCCAGACCAACAAACCTGATGTTGTCCTTTTTGATAAATCCAATGAAATCATTTATTTAAAAATCATTTACTGAATTTTCTGTCACTTTTGACACTAATGTGATTGACAAAGATTCGTGGAAAAAACAAGGCAAAAATGCTTTCCTCGCTTTCGAAATGTCACGCTTGCATCCCAAATACCAAGTTGTCCGATTCCCCATTGTTCTTTGTGCCTTAAGTTTGTAGCCTCCCAATCTGTTGACTGACATTGGGAGAGTACCCGGGTTTGCTACCAGAAATGCAGCCCTTCTGACAATCTGGATAATGCAGACGGCTGCAAGCAACAAGGGCCCTGAGCTGATGATGAGTCTAACAAGCCTGACTGTGTCAGGATCACCCAAACTCTCTTTGCTGCATTGTTTATTTAAATCTGTACATAATAATGATATTATTAATAATACTGATAATAATGATAATAGGCTATTTATATTGCGCATAATTCAACACCACACTGGTCAATGGATCAAAGTGCACTAAAGCATCTTTCTCAGCTCCCTAGTGAGTATACAACCCAAGCTGCTTGTACATTGCCAAGGTACCGGGTACCCATTTACTACAACACATTTCAAACAAAGCCACTTGCCCAAGGAAACGCCGCATGTGTTACATGTGCTTCAGTGTGGGATTCGAAACTCGAGAAACTCTCTGGTGCCAAGTTGCCAAAGGTGGACTCTCTGCGACCAACGTCGCTTGACTTCACCAAATTTGTGTTTCCAGTACCTCTGTATTAGGCTCAGAAGGTTGACAATTCTTATGTATTAATTATGTTTTTCGACGTATAAATCATTGGTGCGGACTTTTGTCCATTCACGGACAAATCTGTATCTTTAATAATGCAATGTAAGAGTTATTTGGTGAAAACGGACGCATGGGTATCTCTACGACCCAACTTATAACAAGAGTAGAGTGTAGAGCTAATCCCCTGTTACAATCTTATAATTAAATGGATTTACCCAAACAAAGAACCAAGCTAAATGAAGACATTAATAATAATAATAATGACCAAATTCATTGCCTATTTTAATTATTAAGCACATTGACTGGAATCATTGAAGGCAGGGCGGGACAACTTCGGAATGGCCAGGAGTCCGAAGGAAGCGAGCTACAAAAACATGTTTTATATGACTGGAAAGCTCTCGAGGATACGAATCCAAATAATGTATGTCCCAGTGTGTTCACATGTTCACAAGATCAAAAAATGGCTTAGAAAATGCATTGCTGCAGAAATTTCTGGCAGAATTTATTTATTCCTGCAGAAATAACTGGCAAAATTTATTTTCTGCAGTAATTTTTAGCAGAATTATTTTTAATTCAGGAGAAATAAGGTTCAATTATTGGATAGTTTAATCTGGAGTTGCTTCAAATGACCTTTTTCCTCAAAGCAAACATTCTTAGTTCACATGCTTACAAGCAAAAAAATAAAACTAATTTCGTGAGATTTTTCAAAAAAATATTTATTCACATGCTATATTACAAGACAATTCCTTGGGCGACTTTGCACTATGTCTCATGAATTTTCTAGGATGAGGCGATTTTTTCATAGATGGGTCCTGTCAAAGAAGAAAATAGATGTATAGATGAGTGGATCCATATTGTCTAATATAATGGATAAATGGCAGCCTATACGCAGCTAGAGTTTACAATAGGGACTACGTTTACGTAATAAAATGTATTATGAATGTAAATATTCTGCTTTACTTACGTTTTCTTCTCAACATACTTGAATTGAATTAACATTAAAATGCTTTTCATTTCAGTAATAATCACATTCCACAAGCTTTAGACACATAAACAATGTAAGATAGGTGAGGTTAGTTGAAATTGGGTTAAATGTTGCGTCCAAGATAATTGCACTTATATAGCGATGTGCATGCACGTGTGTGTGTGTGGCTGCTTGTACTAGTCAGGACTGATGCCGATTTATAGTGCTAACTCACTGAGATACCATGCCGTAGTTTAACACAGTTTAGACACAGTACACCGACGCCAAGACGACCAGGCCTTGTTTTAGCCCCTTAATGCCGTCAGGGGATCGACGATGTAAGATAGACTTAATAAATTTGAATCATAGCATATTTAAAGTTCAAGGTCACATAGCATACGTAAATTTCAAGGGTTATATGCTATTTAAATACTCTTAGTATTTCCTCCATCAATGCGCTCCACATGATCAGGGTACCTATCTGCTCTGTGCATCAGCCATGGAGCCTCTACTTCGTCACCTTTCTTTAACTAAATCAGATATACAACAATGACCAACTTGATATAGTATCATAAAGTTGATGGTACAACGATCAAATGTACATCACAGGTAAAACTCTGATAAACATTTGCTTCCTCAAGGAATTATGACATACTGAAAGAACAAGGTGAACATTTATCGTTTATGGAAAATATGTAGAATTAAGCTTTACATTTAGCAATATGATGGTATGTTGAGACGTGTGAAAAGCTATTGTTCATAAAATCGTATGATACTTCACACCATGCTTGCAGAGATCACTACTTGTTTAAAGCCCGTTTTTAGGACTTAGTTTAAATGATACTGATGGAAACTGGAAAACAGGTGTCGTTAAAATACATGCTTGGGCGAATTCAAACGAACACCAGCTATCATTACCAGCATCACCTGCTGTTCCTATCATCTTTCCTATGCTGATTTACCATTTTTCTTTTTGATCAGGTACCGGAACAAACGTTGCTCAGAACAAAACCGCATGGATGAGTACACGCTTTTGGTCGAGTCCTCCCGCCAGTGCAGCTGTCGATGGGGTAATACTTGCACACGATTCCAAATACTCAGTCATCACCGACACGCTTCTTCAAAGCGCCTGGTGGACGGTGGATCTACAAACACAATATCAGTCAGCAAGGGTTACCCTGTACTTCAGTACATACTGTACGTATAAATTCATTTACGTATTTGATTTACGTAATTAGTAAACACAATCCTTGGTTCCTGGAACGTCATGAATATAACTATCATTGTTTTTCTGGATATGTGTATTGAAATTCAAAACTATGTCAATCACTATGCCAAGGCTAACTTAGCAAAGAAAACTTGGATTTTCCTTATGTTTTTGTATCCGACGGACTAGGAAATGATGGTTGTGGTCAAATGTTTTGGTTGCAGATACTATTTGTGGGTCAAAATACACTTTTATTTTGTAAAAATAGAGAAAATCAAGTAAAGTCCCCTTAAAAGGTAGAGTATGCATTGAGTCCTTATGTTATCATGTATATGATAGTTAACACATAATAGACTTGAATAATTATTATTTTTTTAATTATAGCTCCTCATCAATTGAGATATAAGTAAAAATAATCCAAAATATGGTACATTTTGCTCTATTTTCATTTATTGGATATTGGATGGTTCTGGGTATGCTTAGTTAAGCCCTATAGAATATACATAGAAACAAACAAACAATGTGCACAACAACACACACAGAGGTATATCATCGTCAACTTCTTTATTATGAGGAACAGAACGGTTGTGAGTAAATACTTTCTCTATGAAGCAGAGATCATATATATTTTCCTCTTTATGTGTATCACTTTTAAATGTCATTCAAAGACTACATAAAGGTATCTAAACCCTATAATCTGACATATATCAGCATATTTATGAATACACTATTGCTCTCAATACCCGAGGAGTGTACCATATGATTATATTTGTTATTACATACTTTATTCTTTATAAGAGGACGTCACTTAAACCACAAAATGCGTACAGTTCGGTATGACTAGACTGTCAGAAGTAACAACAAATGAATATGACCGAGATGTAAACGAGAAATATCTTTACTCATGACAAACAACAATATTGTGGCTAGGTAGCAATGCTGCGTTCCAAACACACTTCTGCACTTGTACACAGCAGACGTAATTCAAAATGAAGATGTAGGTTTTTAGTTTCCACAAAAAGCAATGAATGCATTATCGTGTCACTGGATTTTCTGTCTGGTCCATTACTTGATTCTCTGGGCTCTTTAAAGACAACCGTCGCATTGAGTGAGTGAGTTGGGTCTAACGCCGCTTTTAACATTATTCCAGTTATATCGCCGCGTGTCAGCCTAATGTGGGAGGACACCCCGAAGTGATGCAGTGGCATGTTTTACCGGTTGGGCAGGACATGTTAACCATTCGTATTGATTTTCAGTGATCTACTCATACAATTGTCACGGCTATTTTGCTATAGAATATGTATTGACGGATAATCGAGACTGGGTGTTCTCTGGTGTTGATGTTTTATAACTATTCAAAACATATTTTGTGCTGTTATCTGCTGCAATACTGAATTTTAAGGGTCGTGTCTATAAGATATTACCACATTTGTAGACCGTAATAATGTGTTGTAGTATAAAAATTGGTTTACACACACTTAGCTGTAAACATGCTTTGGATTTATGTCGCTAAAAGGAACAATGTCTTTGTGTGTTTTAACTCTACACGTTAATGACATGTGGCACATGCCAGGGGCTCAATATCCCAAAAGTGTGGAATATAGTTATTGGTGTCATTCATCAGTTACCCCCAACCACTTGCGAGTCAACACGATGTACGTTTACATACATTTGCTGTCGTCGTAACAATCGTTATATCAAGAGTCAAGAAGAGTCAAGAAGAATCAGAAGAGATATGTCAACTGTTGTGCGAAGTCAGTCGAAACACATTTAGACATTAAACACTTGATTTCCTGAATATTTCATCACTTTGCTTTGATAAATAAAGCAGCAAGTCGAGTCGAGCAAAGATTGTAGAAATGTACAAAGTGAACTGACATGTTAAATATCTTGCTTGGTGTTGATGTTGTCATTTTGTAAGCATCCCAGAGAAAGATACACCAAGTACCAAAACTGTTTAAACGGTTTAGAAAGTTAGAGGGTTACAAAGAGGGGTCGGTTGGTCGGTGGGTCGGCGAAGTGTGCCCACCTCTAATATGAAAACAGGGATCATATTAGATTACTACAAATTAGCTGAGAGAATGATAAGGATAAGATCTTATAAAAATTATTTGAACTCACATTATTGTGCCACTTAACGATACATTGCTTGGGACCAAAGTTTCAATAGCGTAATTGCACTGAGCTGAGATAATAAAGACTTGGTATTCTCTGGATCTAGAACATTGCGAAATGTGATAGTTTTATGGTGATGTCTGGTTATAAATTCAAAGAAGACAGCCTTTCTCAATATTGCTGACACATGTTGAAATATTGACGAACTTGTCAGGTTGGATTGAGCCCCGTAGAAGTGTCCCTAAATTCCGATAGAGCATTCGTCCTCCTGCTATATTTTTTAACACCCCGGATGACCAAGGCTATGTCCCGACTTCCAACACTGACAAGGGAGCAACAATGCTCCTACTAGAAGATGCTTTCAAGCAATTCATGTTGAGAGACATGTTTCAGACGACAATATAGCTGCAGATATATCAGTTATCTCATCTGCAGCGACAGATCTGGACTGCCACATACTGAACACTGCACCTGCTCTAGTTGCCAAAACTCGACAGACGATGATGAATCTGAAGGCTTGAGTGACAGTGGCAGTGACTAAATGTTTCTTACTGTATTTGAGAAAAATAATGGATTTGTTAATGAGTTACTGACAATATTGAAGCAATTGAAAAAAAGTGCTTCACTTTAAATATGCTATTCTATATTTGTGTTATTTTATAGGATGGGAGTGAGGTACATTTATTAAATTTTCATACATTATATTATACCTATATTAATTGTGGAATTTGTCATAAGCTCCTAAAGCATTCAGGCAGATTTTGAGATATCACACGACATGATTTTCAATATGCAGGTTACATTATCTTTAGTTTTTTAATACTTTGAAAATTAAAATTGAGTGAATTTGTTCCTATTTTCGACACATTTTAGCCGATAACTCGACTTAAACCATTTTGCTACTTGATTAATTGTTCTAATTTAGGTTTCTTGAGTGAGCACACTCATTTTGTTTATAAAATGAGCATTGTAATATGCAAACTGACTTGTTTAAAGCCATTTATTTGATTTACTTAATTTTGTCATACAAATGTGCATTTTACCACCAGAAACATGTCTGCCACCAAAAGAAATCACCACAACTGTCATATAATTGACATCACTATTTTGGGTTTTACGCCCAATTGTATCCGTTTCTGCAGATAGTCGTGACTGATTATTCTATGGCGTTGACCTTTTCAATATTCTCGAAGGAACATTATACCGTCTAATCGATTCATGATCTACCCAATAGAATAAGTCGTGGCAATGACATAATTAATTTGGGGTCACGAGATTGTGGCCACAGTTCTAGAGTTGTAAATCAAGGCAAATAACATATTTACATATGCATTTATTAATTAATAAATCGTTGCCACGCTATTTAATAACCTCAGATAGATTTATTAACCATACCATACTGTAAAATTATATTCTCGTATCCAATCTGTTGGTATGATGTGTTGATAAAACCTATGATATGGAGTTTGTGCATAAAGCAGACACACGGCTATGACCGCTAATTATTTGCTAATTGGAAGAGGACTTAATATAGGCATTATAATCAATTCAGGTTTGGCTGTTTTTTCTTTAAAACATTCTCAAAGAAAAGACATGCTTTGTCATTTGCTCATTGGTATGTTTACAGTATAGTATGTATTGTACTTGTATCACCATCGTAGTTGTGTTTCATGATTTTTTAACATGTTCACTTGTATATGCGTGATATTTAGCTGGATTACATTAAACAAATATCCGTAAATGTTTACAAGAAAACATTGATGCAGAGCATCAAAGTTCCCCGCCATATGTGATGCCTCACAAACGCATAATAATGATGTTACTGAAAGGCATGAAGGAGCATAATTATATTAACCACAAAAAAGTAAATGCTGTTGTGGAAAAAATATTGTTTATTTTGAGTATTTGGCAATACAGTTGATACATTTGCATACGGTAGGTTCTATCGGTGAAACCCACGAGCACGTGTATTGTGCTGTCAAACCTAGAAACATAATTGGGGCGAACCGGGATTCGAACGCACAATCATACATTTCTGGCGTGCCCAAGGGACGCAACTCTGCATAGCGTATCGCGGCACCTTAGACGACTGGGCCACCCGTGACCCCATACTAGATGAGGTCTTTTTGTCACAACCACAGATGCACATACTCAAAATATTATCACGTAGTTGGAGAACATTTCAATACCAGAACTAATCAATAACGGAGTTTCCTCGTCACTTGTTTTACTTTTTTTCGGTAATTTTGTATTTCTTTCCTTCAAGGAATAGTATTTATGATCATGATGAGTTGAGTTACTTGATCGTTTTCTATGTACAGTTTTTTGTCCAGTGTGTCAGTTACTGTTGTGGAGGGGCGGTCGGGTAGGCTAGTGGTTAAAGCGTTCGCTCGTCATGCTGAAGACCCGGGTTCGATTCCCGACATGGGTACAATGTGTGAAGCCCATTTCTGGTGTCCCCCGCCGTGATATTGCTGGAATATTGCTAAAAGCGGCGTAAAACCATACTCACTCACTCACTACTGTTGTGGAATTTGATTTTTGTGAGTTGATATGATGATGATTGATATACTGTTAACAAGTAACATGACAATTCATCCATACTACTAAACAGAAGGTAAACTGCTTGTCCATTCGGATCAATTCCTCCCAAACCATTCCGCTGATGAGAGTCAAATAATGCATACGAATCAACATCCGTAAAAAATGCAATGGAGACATCATTAAAAGTTACCAAAAAGTGACTGGGATATCAATATTGCTTGTTGAAATTATTCCAGGAAATTTGTTTCCCCTGATTCAATTTTTTGAGCACCTGTGACGGAGCGATAAAACTGATCTGTTGTGTAGACAATGTGGGTTGATGCAGTGGCTGCTGGGAGCTGATTATGACCTAAATACCCCTCATAGCCTTCGGTGTTAACTATGTGACCGTAGAGAGCTGTGCCTTCATGCAACAGATTATCGAGGTCAGTGGAACACGGTACAGACGCAAATGGATTTGAGCCCTGGGACACCAAGTATATGATAGGGACCAGAGCTACGACTGTACATTGAATTCCATTAAACGGTTGAACAATACTACAGCCTTGATGCAAATTCGCCGACACACTACTCCGATTTAGCTTTGACTTTGCTGCCAAGCGTTTCACACACCGATTGTGCACCGATTAAAACAACACGGGGGTCTGGGTTAATTCAAAATACGGAATATAACTATTCCGAATATTTTAAGTGAACATGAGCATCCAAACAATCATAAGTGTGGTATGTAGAATGTGTTTTAATAATGTCAGCTAATGACCAGAAACTGTCAGATGCATCAATTTACTACATAAAGACGATTTTGAAGTATCTCTTGTTGCTGAAAAAGATAGCATCAACATTTCACGCACGTGATTTGTATGTTTGGTTTCGGTAACTGTGTGGCTTGAAATGTCACCAATATGTCGACATACATGCTATAAAATTAACCTTTCCCGTATACTTCAGGGCGGGGAAGAATAAAACAAATTCAAGTTTTGTTGCAGCAGAAAACACACACAACTGCACACAGCTCAACACTTCGTTGCAAAACAGTACCGTCATTAATCAAGCAAGAGTGTGACATACAATTGTTGGAAATACTGACGGCACTGAAATAACGGCTATATGTCATGTGACATGACCTTCAATGCTTTAGCTAAACGCAAGGGTTTCTAAATATAATTCTGACCTGCTTATATAAACTGAATATGAACCTACAGCATAGCGTGTACGGTTATGCTTCATTAATTAATGTGTCCTACATCAAGTAAAGTTTATATTCATACTTGTTTCAGACAAGTCAAGACGTAATGGCGTGCAGCTCTACACATCTGTGACAAATTCCTCTGCTCCCGAAGAAGGAAATATATGCCACAGTGTAACAGGACGTCCTAACGGTACAGACATCCCTGATGTGCTGAATGTCACCTGTCCCGAGACTTGGCGCTACCTGACTGTCTACACAGAGACTAACAATGATGGACATGGTGCTCTATTAGAATTTGTTGAAGTACAGGTGTGGGGTAAGTATCCTGTTGGGCGTGAAATAGTATATATTTTCAAGAAGCTTGTTTACAAAAATACCAAGTAACAATATTGTGTCATTTTAAAGTTAGATATATCGTTTTATATTTTACAAACTGATATTACGTAGCCTTCTTTTCAGTTCAGTTTCGTCAATGTATTTATTTTTGTTGTCCATATGTGGGAACTAGTCGAGAAGGATACACCAACACCTCACACTTCCCTTTGGAGATCTGTGTTCAATCACCTCATATCCCAAAGAACCCATCGAGTCGCACTAATTTGTTTCTTCGGGTCTTATGATATGAAGCTGAGTGTTCAGTGTATATCTTGGCTTATGTTTGAATTCTTTTTTTATTAATTTTCCTAAAAACTTCATGCAAATTCCCAACTCACCGTTATTAAGAGCGCGGAAGCCACGACGTTGACTGGTCAAATTGTTTCATACGTTTCATCAGCTGTACCAATGGGCGACAAAAAGCTGCAACTACAATAACACGATACTGGAATATATAATTCTTGATAAAATACCGGTTACAGAGAGAATTCTTTCAACTTTATAAATGGGTATTTTCGAGAATGGGCGGAAACATGTGTACAGCTGATTGCTATTTCATGCTTGGTTGACAAGAAAATAGACAAGGTGAACTTAATCTTTGAATATAAAACAATATGTGGCAGATTAGGAAGGACAATATAAATGGTAAATCATCACGTATAGCTATTTTAGATTTTCATTGACCAAGTTTGTTCTTACCTGTTCGTTTACCTGAATTCGCTGAAGGGATACATGTAGTTTTTTCTGCCCATAATACTTGAAAAAATGGTATTTATGTTCAAATGGTGTTTGTAAAGTTATGTTTTATTAATTCGATACTAATATATTGTAATGGCATCAAGAACCGATGTGTACCAGTATAGTGGTATATTGATCCAAGCCTAGATGCGGTAACTAAATAGTTTGTTATTGGGGCATGTGCCACACTTTACACATGTGATGTTATTCACATGTTGACCTACCGCCATGTTTCGTAATGTGTTACAAACCTCAGGGAAGAGTAAATAAAAGGCTTTTGAATCAAATATTGGACACAATGTCAATAATAATACAGCTGGCCCTGTGTATCACATTAAATAAACAATCATTATTACATGTACACTTTACTTAATAGTGACATTAAGAGATCACTGATGAATAGCCCAGCATGCTACACTGAATATTATGAAGAAAACTGTAACCAACTATGCAATAACCGCCACTGCAGGAAGAGATCCAGGTCACTATGTAGATATGAAAATGACGTTTCTATTTACTAGCATGCGCTTCTGGGTATTATGGATCAAACTGTGACCAATCCTGTGCTGCACGTCACTGCAAGTCGGACTCCAGCTGTGACGTCATAGGACTGTGTGTTGGAGGATGTGCGGCTGGATATCAGGGAACAGACTGTACTCAAGGTAATGTTTATTCAAATCAGATTTAATTGATTTAATAAATACTTTGTGTTTACAGTTCATTCATCACCGTGTATATGTCTGAATGTGTATAAAACAAATAAAATTATCGTCAAGATATAGTCACTTTCGTACTCAGATATGTGGAATAAAGAATATATATTTTCTTGTTTAACGTAGCCCTCAGCAATATTCCAGGTATATGACGGCGGTCAGTAAATAAACCTGACTGTACCAGACCATCCAGTGATTGACATCATGAGCACTGAACTACGCAATTGGGATGCATCATCAGCGACCCGATTCCGTTAGGCACCTCTTACAACAATAAAGATGTCTTAACATGTCGTAACACATCATGCATGATATTTTCCTAAGCTCCTAAGGATTATTTTTGAAAATGTATATTCATTGCCGATGTCACTCGGTTCTGTCACGTGTCAGCCTTGGTTGAGCCCTGCTGGCCACAAATGTTTTCTGCGAAATTTGAAGTCATTAACTTCAATGTAAAAATCAACAATAACATGGCTCTGAAATGTAGGTTCAAGGTAATGTAGGCATGAATAACTGACAATTAATTGTCTGATCGAGAAAATGTTTGGGGTTGTTATAGCAACAGAGTCCCAGGATGTTTCGAAATGACAATAAAATAAAACTCTATCAGAATTTGTGCACAGCCGTATATTTGATATCCGGTATTGATAACATTTGTGAAAGGTTAAACTATTTTCAATGAGTGGTCAGATTACTTTCAACCAAAATATACCGGTGTTCTGGTGTGTAGGTGACACTTGCCAGAGAATGACAAGTTTCGATTATCCGATGAAACATTCCATAAGGTGTAAAACGCAAACTTACTGTGAAAAATATATGAATGGATCAATAAAAATCAGCGATGACACCAGGTGTTCGCAAAAAGGGTACAGGTAGCCCCAAATGGATCAGTTCAAAGTCCAATCGTTTCTTTATTTGCACGTAGAGTGTTCTATACACTTGATAAATGCAATAAATGCTAAAATGCATTTAAACTCTAGTTGAACTCATGATAAGGTCTTATGGAGAATGTCACCCCATTGTCATGTTTCATCAGTGCATCTCATGAAACCTTCACTGAGGGAACAGACGCGCAGTTTCTTCGACCTACCTGATTCATATCTCTGTCATATGTCTACATAATTCAATTTTTAAGATGTGCCTACCTCGGCTTATATACAAACTCTGACAAAGAGTAGTTGAATTTGAAACATGCATATTGAAAATAATAATCTTAGTTATAGTGTCGTGATAAGTACAGTGATCAAATATAAGATTACTGATTGTGAGTGAACTTCATTTGAGGCAACTTTTAGCAATATCCCAGCAATATTACGACGGCGGACACAAGAAGTGGTCTTTGCATTATGAATCCATAATTGTAGGGATGGAATCTTTGACGTAACGAGCAAACCATTAGGCTACCCCACCGCTCAAATTACTGATAACAAAATCCGAGACTACTTATTTGGAAAACTACAAAACAGTAACGCCATTCCATTCATTATGTAGATAGTAGATACCTTGTCTCATATTTTGCATCTAATAGCCCGCCATGACACCGCATACATTTGAATATGACAGTCCTATATACTAGCATGCGTCCCTGAGTATTATGGAACTGACTGTGGCCAACTCTGCACTAACCGCCATTGCAAGATGAACTCCAGCTGTCTTGACAAGATACAAGGGCAGTGTGTCGGGGGATGTTCGGCGGAGTATCAGGGAGCAGATTGTACTCAAGGCAATGTTTTCAGCACAGTACATAGTATTTTGTTCAGTCATGTATTTTTTATTGATTCAGTGATTGTGTTTTCCATTTATCACAGGTCGTTCACGTTGCTGTATAGCACAAGCACACAGCTAAAATGTAATCTCTTGCACATTCTGTTGGTTACATTGTCAACAGCTCTGAATGTTGACATTGTTCCTTCTCGAAACGTATATACTCAACAACATATTTTCTATTTTCAGGTCATTTGCATTATACAAACGTTTGTTCGTAATAGTATTTTAATTCTTGTGGATACTTTACAACATGTGGATCATGCAGAACATAATTTCCATTCCATGCCATATTTTCTGAAATCAACGTGTTACATAGCTCATTCGCCCAAATGTCAAAAGCCATGTTTTGATACACGAAGTGAAGCAACGCTCCATTAATTCTGCATAGCATGATCACATCATGGTTCGAGATTACAGAGTAATGAATACCGCTAATGTTCCAATTCGGATGAGATACAAAATGTCGACTGTAAGTGGCATGCCACGATTCATACAAGCATCTGTTTTGCTTGGAAGCAACAAGTCTTTTGTTCGTTGAGCTGACGATACTGACTCATATCAACGATGCTTGACTTAAATTGCAAGACAAATTTCGTTCTGTTGTCTCCTTATACACTCACCTAATATCGAAAATTAAAGATGTTTTAAACGATTTTGTTTACGAAAAAGATAAGTTTGTATTAATGTTGGGTCTCTCTTCTATCAATCCAAGCTTAAGAAAAAAGCTCTGGTTATCATAAATGAAGAGCATTTCGGAAAATACACAAAATATATACCTTTCTGACTATAAAGAAAGTAGCGAATAAAGCGAAGTAAACTCATTGCTCATCATCCCTCTCAGCCTGTGATCCTGGGAGATATGGAGAAGGATGTAGCAAGTACTGCGGGAGGCGTCGCTGTAAGACACCATCTGACACATGTGATCACGTGACTGGCAGGTGTCCTGATGGGTGTGCAAGTGGTTTCATCGGAACTGACTGTTTGCATAGTAGGCATATTTATTCATGTGTTTCTAAACGCATTTCATATTTTTTTTATATTGGCAACAGTTCATATGCATGTTAGTGATTTAAACATTTCATTCCAGAGATCAGTTGTATAAACTGAGGGTCAAAAGAAAGTTTTCTTATCAGTTTTTGGAAATGGTAAAAATATCAAAAACGAAAAAAATTGATTCCAACGTTGAATTTGAAAAATATAATCATTTGACGAGATAGAGGCACTAATATATACAATAATCAAATGGCATCATCGAGGTTCACGCAGTCAGTAATTGCACCCATTCCTCTCTCTGTCCCTATATAATCTGACCTGTTTTTATTGGGAGATTGACACGGGTATCAAGCCACGTCAGCAGATCCAGAAAAACGTCCGTTGCTATTTCCCACGTTGCCAAAGTTGAACTCTACGTGCCCAACGCAAAGGCTTAAGTCGATGTTGCCTTGTCATCATGTCTCAATGACGTTCATCGATGCTCATGATCATGTCAATCACTGGATTGTCTTGTCCAGTCTCGATCATTTACAAACCGCTGTAGTATGGCTATAATATTGCTGAGTGGGGAGTTAAACAACAAACAAACCACTGGTACGCCCACGAGCAGTCACATAAGATGACTTAACATAGAGGAACCTGTTACCTTGGTGCAAGGTGAGGAGATAGCAGTCTTCAATGGTTACGACCGAGTCTTCCAGATCATGACCTGCCTGCTGTCCTTCCAATCACTCTGTCACGACGCATGAATCTAGTGATTATCGTACAGTTCATTATTGTCCCCAATTGCTACTACACCGATTGCTCTCCCTAAAAGTTGAGCAGTCAGCCTTGTCGCCTTCTTGGGTGTTTTACTGACGATTGATGACCCTATTGTGTCATGGTCGACTTTTTAAATCCCAATGTGACCAGGTATCATGCTTCTTATGCAGTGAATGTTTGATCCATGTAATCATTTGACAGTGCAGCATCGCCCAAACCAAACAGTGTGCGACGAGCTGTAAGGTGTTGTTACGTCGAACAATATTGGAACCTGACTTAAATAGTGTTTAGGTCTAAAAACATGTTTCGGTATATTTTGAATTGATTGTCAGTTTATGTTTTTTTGTCAACAAATCGAAACCTGAGTAATGTTTTTGTTCCAAAATGAGTGTCAGTTTGTAATTTACTTAAAGATCCTATAATTTCAATCATATCTGCAGCTAGGAAAACTCTCTATGAATTACTTTCAAACTTACACCAGTTTCACTTTTGCTTTATCCAGCGTGTACCAGTATGATGTACGGCCCTAACTGTGCCAGTAACTGCAGTTCCCGACACTGTAAGACACCCTCCTCTACATGTGACAGAGTGACAGGACAGTGTCCTGATGGGTGTGAAGATGGATGGACAGAAATAGACTGCTCTAGAAGTAAGTCACCTTGCACCATAATAATATAATAAACAATAATGATTGATTTGTTTTTCCTGTTGATGTGTCGTGGAATTATTCAAAACCTGCTTACGAGTCAAGTGTGATATTCTCTTACAACAAACGTTGACTGATGATTTCATTGTGCCATGGTCGCCTTTGTGTATACTTGTGTGACCAGGTCTCATGCTTCCTATCCAATGATAGTTTGATCCATGAAATCATGTACAGTGCAGCATCGCCAAAACCCAGCAATTTGCGAGGAGATATAACAAGCTACGTCGTAACGTCGAACAATACTGGAACCTGTAAATCAATCCATTCACGTAAATTGTGTTTAGGTCAAAAACATGTTTCGGTTTACCTTGTATTAATCGTCAGTTTATGACATCAACAAATCGAAATCTTGGCAATGTTTGTGTTCCAAAATGAGTGGCAGTTTGTAAGTTACATTACAGATGCTATAATTTCAATCATATCTGCAGCTATGAGAACTCTTAATGAATTTCTTTCAACCTTCCACGAGTTTCACTTATGCCTTATTCAGCGTGTACCGAGAGGTTGTACGGCCCTAACTGTACCAGTAACTGCAGTTCCCGACACTGTAAGACACCCTCCTCTACATGTGACAGAGCGACAGGACAGTGTCTTGGTGGTTGTGAAGATGGATGGACAGATATAGACTGCTCCAGAAGTAAGTCTTCACCATGATAATATAATAAACAATTATGATTGATTTGTTTTTCCTGTTGATTATATAACAAATTCATATTTACAATTGGTTCAACATAAGAACTGATTGAACAGCAATTGAATTTGAATTTATACATATAAATCAAAATGCACAATATGATAAGTTGATTCAACTGAGTGATTCAGTTGCATACACTTGTTAGAAGTAGTGTGTCATTATGATAGCAACGCGTTAAAATTCAAGATATAAATAGGTCAACTCCCCTACGGGTTGTTTAACTATGACACGGAGAGGACATAAAAGTGCCAAAACCATTTCCTTAGTCATAAGAAATATTGGTTCAAAGCTGAGTCCATGAAGAAACCTCACTATTGAAATCTTTTGTAGGATACAGCTACATGCGATCATGTTTCTTAATGCAGCTATCCTCTTATTATGCTCATAGTACTATAAGTTTCGATAAATATACCGTTATTGTACCATCATGTTTTGCAAGGTAGGAAATAATGTTTTGGAGTCCCAAGCTTGCACTTTGATGTTGCTTGATGTTGTAACGAATGTGAAGTAAATTGATAGTACATAAATTATAACCAATCTCCATTTATTGCATCTTTAAAGAGGAAACCCTTTATGAATTTAAGTTCACAAATAAAATGAGGAATGTAGTGCATTTCTCGTTTGACATCATGAAATGAATCTTAGATGTTGGTCACCGGTACTTTGCTGAAGTGCCACAGAAATCCTATGGGTGTTGATGTGTTGAGATGTAACTGATGTGTGATGTGTTTCTCAATATAGAGTGCCCCAGTGGAACGTATGGCACCAACTGTAACAAAACCTGTGGCCATTGTGCTAACAACAACACTTGTCATCATGTTACTGGAATATGTCCAGATGGATGTCAAGCAGGGTGGAAACTTGACCTGTGCCAGAAAGGTGAATGCAACTAACCAGAAGAAATAGATGGTCTTATTCTCAAAAACGGTATTGTTCTTTTGTATGTACCGCACATTACCTCAAACAAAACTAAAATGTGAGATGAACATACAAGGAATATTGTATCTGCTAATATACAACTGTTTATTTTCTATTTCTAATTAGGTTGTGGCAATGAGAAATTCGGAGTGAACTGTGAGAGTGACTGCGGCCACTGTAACGGAACCTGCGATGCTGTTGATGGACGATGTCTCTGGGGATGTACTGAGGGATACAATGGTTCTCACTGCTCGATGAAGCTTAGTAAGTTACCTCATAAAGCTCATAAGAAATGGCTTGAACATCAGGGATCAGCTGCTGGTTATAAGGTATTAGGAATAATTGATATTTCTGGAATATCCCGATGACATGTTTGCGACACAATGTTGCCGGAATACAGAATACAATTCTGTACAGTTTTTGAGTCGTTTAGATAATTCTATCGAAGTTGCATTGCATATATACTGAACCAAATTAAAAACTTCACATTCCTAAAATTTAACATTTTGACCAGTTATCATTGTGGGCCCTTATTGTGTATTTAAACAGTAATGGCCACGTATTGTCTTCAGATAACGCCCGTTTTTGTGCAGGTGAATCGATCAAAATCATGTGCACAGCACTATAGTTGCAAAAGTGATTTTTCACGTGCAACTGGTCACGTGGCCATAATACCGCACGTGTTTTCAGCCATACTTGTTAGCAGTCATTAACGCCACGCCACGCCACGCCACGCCACGCCACGCCACGCCACGCCACGCCTTTCAAATGTGCAACGTGAACGTGTCATCAACATGTTGCAGACGGGAACGTCCTTAGCTGAAGTCGCAAGGACGATGGGTTGTAGTCCACGGACTGTTTATGATTTACAGACGCGTCTACAGCAAACGGGTACCACCGCTGATCGCCCTCGGCCAGGTCGACCACGTGTGACGTCACATGCAGAGGATCGTCAGATTGTCTAACGTCACCTCCGTAACCGATATTTGACGGCTACATCAACCAGAAATGAACTGTTTAGGGGTAGACTGAGTGCGCAAACTGTTCAAAACCGTCTGAGAACTGCTCACCCTCAAGCACGACGGCCATACTGCGGGCCGATTCTGACTCAATTACACGGACGTCAACGTCAAATGTGGGCACAGCGACACTTACGATGGAATCAAGTCGTCTTCAGTGATGAATCCCGATTTAATCTTCGATTTGCTAATGGTAGGGCGAGGGTGTGGAGGCGCCGTCATGAACGTTACGCCCTGTGTTGTGTACAGGAAGTTGACAGATTTCGAGGCGGAAGTGTCATGGTGTGGGGTGCTTTCTGTGGCAAAGCACGTTCCAGGCTTCTTGTCATCCGTGGAAACCTCAACGCTGCTGCTTACCGCGACCAGGTACTGGCACCAGAACTTCTGCCTTTTATGGCAGCACATGGACCCGGTTTGATCTTTCAACACGACAATGCCAGACCCCACAAGGCAATTTTGACAAGGAATTTCGTTCAGAATGCGGGAGTCAACGTCATGGACTGGCCTTCAAGGTCTCCCGACCTCAATCCCATCGAACATGTCCGGGATGCTCTTGTCAGAAGTCTGCGCACTCTCCAGAACCAACCACAGAATTTGCAAGATCTTGGCACCATTTTGCAGCAACAATGGCGTCGTCTTCCCAATCATGTGTTCACAACCATCACAAGGTCCATGCGGAGGCGTTGTGTGGCAGTTGGCAACACACATGGTGGCCATAGACGCTACTGAACTTGTGTGCCATCAGATTCTCGTGCTTGGGACTTATGATTTAAACTGTTGATGTTATTACCGAATACCGTAGGTGCTTGGAACAAATTATGGTTACCACCGTTAATTAAATCCTTGGACATTAATGATTAAAAATTACCTTCTCTGATACATTTGTCCGTTTTATATCATATATGGAATTACTTTTAAAAATGAGAAGTTTTTGATTTGACTCAGTATTTTATATGTTACAACCGAAAATGAAATACAGCCTACGCTTTTATTACCCTTCAACGTACAAAGCAGTAGTATCGCTACTGTACTACATAACACCACTGCATATATGAGTATTTAATTTATGCGGTTTATGGACATGATTTTAATGCTAGAAAATCTGTAAAAATAACTGATGTCAATGGTGGTCTTTCGTTCTAATAGCCATTATGCACGTTCTTTAGGTCTGATATGTCAGACGTTACTTCATGCCAAATTACTTTGAGGTCATATTTGTCGCGTGGCACTGGGTCACACCAAGCCACAAAACAAAACCTTCCTTTATTTTTTAGAAATGGACTTCCTGAATTGGCCACTTCACAACAAGTGTCCTGGTCACAAAATAGTAGAACTCACTAATATTGCTATGTAGGTATATACAAGAAGTTTGATGATGCATTTAGGATGTTACAGATTAAACAGTATATACCTTAACTGTGTAATAAATTACCCCATCCACCTTTCCCACACACCCACACAGCCAAAAACTCCAAAGGATCAGCTTCTTTCAGAGCATGTTTCTGCTGCCAGTTTTATTAACCTCGAATTGTTGTCTTCATGTGGACATCAGCAACATATGTTGATAAACATGTATAAACCTAGTCACACAAGTTTCTCCCATTAACGGTTTAACGAAAGAACAATGTTAGTCCTAATCTGATCTTGCTTTGTAATAGTAATATTGACAGTAGTGATAATTGCACGTTGTAATTGAACCTTAACTTTATTATATTGTACTATATATACATGTTTATGAGACAATGTTGCCGGATGTATGTTTATATACATGAATTACAACCGAAAATGAAATACAACCTGCGCTTTTATCACCCTTCATCGTACAAAGCAATAGTACCTCTACTGTACTACTGTACAAAACTATTGTACATATGAGTATTTGGTTTATGCGGTTTGTGGACACTTCACAACTCGTGTCCTGGCAACAAAATGGCAGAACTCACCGCTGTTGCTATGTACTAGCAGTTTCATAATGCATTTAGGATGTTCCAGAACACACACTCACACACACAGCCAAAACTCCAAATTATCGGCTTCTTTGAGAGCATGTTACTGCTTAAAGTGGATAGGCTCCAGTTTATCCCCATATGCAAGTGTTGCACCGGTTGCACTGCAGTGAGCTTCAAGTCAATACAAGATGAGTCCAGGGTGTTTCGCAGGTGCATCTGAGCAGCGATCCCAAACTTAATGTAATTAACGCTTTTAATTGTCATCAGCAACATCTGCTGATAAACATTTATGAACCGTGTGGCACAACTTTCTCCCGTTATCTGTTTACCGTAAGGACAATGTAACTCCTGCTCTCGTCTTGCTTTGTAATGGTAATATTGACAGTAGTGATAATTGCGTCTTGTAATTGAATCTTAACTATATTATATTATACTACATATACTATATATCAGGGGTGGTCGGGTAGCCTAGTGGTTAAAGCGTTCGCTCGTCACGCCAAAGGCACGGGTTCCAATCCCGACATGGGTACAATGTGTGAAGCCCATTTCTTGTGTCCCCCGACGTGATATTGTTGGAACATTGCTAAAACCAAACTCACTCACTATATATGAACCTTAAAACCATAACTCATATTTCAGCTCTACTTAAGAAGCCAAACCAGTCCGGGTTCCCGGTATCAGCTGTGGTGGGAACAGTCGCAGGTTTACTTGTTGCCATCGTAGTCATCGTTGTTGTTGTTGTCTTTGTCAGAAGGTAATTGCTCATACAATCATCAACAAAAAAATACGTTTGGCTTCCTATATGTATTTATATCCAGTTTGTTCACACGTTTCTCCTTACCTGGTTCACATTATTCTATGATGGCATCAAGAGGTCTTGAGGTTTAATATTTCAAAGAAATTATTTGCAAATGTGAATTAAAACCAATTGCAATTGCGAAATCTTCAAACTTCAACATGTAAAAATTTCCCGAGACCAAAAAAAACGTGAATACACTGTAGATTTGTCTTGATGTATTAGTAGGTAAAACTAAGGACTAACAAACTGATATCTTTTTAAACGAGAGACAGATTAGAAAAAAAGGCCTTGTGCTTACATCACAAACAACATTATACATGCATGTTTTTAAATCTAGTAACTACGGAAGCGTAGTAGGGCTACGGTGATTTTTTTGGTCTAAGTATCTCCTACGTTGGACTTATTATCTCCTACGCAGGACTTACTATCTCCTATGTAGGACTTAGTATCTCCTACGTAGGACTTAATATCTCCTACACAGGACTTAGTTTCTCCTATGTAGGACCTACTATCTCCTACATAGGACTTAGTATGGACTAGAATAACTATCTCCTATGTAGGAGATATTAAGTCCTACGTAGGAGATACTAAGTCCTGCGTAAGAGATAGTAAGTCCTACAAAGGAGATAGTAAGTCCTGCGTAGGAGATAATAAGTCCTACGTAGAAGACAGTAAGTCCTACATAGGAGATAGTAAGAAAAAAATAAAATTTTACACATTATTCTCCAAATAGAATGGTAATGATTGTAACACAAAACATCATATACAGCCACTCACTCGAATATGTATATAGGCCAAAGCCTTTCTAGTTTTTAAAAAAAAATCAAATATCAATACACCGAGTGTGTACTGGTAATAGACTTAAGTTTTTTTGGTCGCAAATGACATTTCTCACATGATGTTTTTGCCTCACGACTGATCAGTCCATGGGTTTGAACTTTCTATACATACATATGTATAAATTTACGTTGCATGGCTTTCATTATTTCTTTGGTTCTTCAGGCCTTACGACCAAACAGTCTATGATTTGAGCTGCTATATGTACCAACCAATGTCGGAAGGCTTCCGTTATTTGTTTATGCCTTAGATGCACAGGCATGTGTTGTAAGACCACTCGTCAATACAGTCAGTATTTTTACACATAGGTCTTAATGGACAAAACAGTTATGATGAATACTGTGGAAACGTTACTGCTAAATATATCAACCCAACCTCATAAATTATAATCACTTATAATTTCATATTGTTTCTTACATTTCACTACCGTGTAACATTTTCTGATTCTGTTGATGCAGGAGGAGACAGAGGTTTCACGATGACGACATCAATAAACAAGTTGCAGAGTTTCACCCTAAAGTACAAGGTTAGAACAGGGCTGATTGTGACAACCCTTTGGGATCCAATATGTCTACATCTTTTATTGAATAAGGGTCCAAACATGTTCATTTATGATTTGGGTTTTGCACTAAATGTGCTATAGGGGTAAGGAGTGTGATTGTCTATTCAGTGAATATATTGGTAAATATTTGAACACGGGTAAGTCTTTGAGACATGCTGTATATCTATCAGATGATTGTTAATGAAGAAAAAACGAACAGTGAAAATATAGTCTTAGATCATGACAGTACATGGCATTTCATTTGTCTTTACCCATGCATAGTTCTATAATTGTTTGTATCATAAGAAAAACATGATCATGAGCTCATATGAAGATGTCTTTCGTGTTTAAATTAATATTTCATACTTCAATTTTAATTTAATTGTAAGAGGGCCCAACCATCAAAGACCTAGAAACCTAAGATTGTAGGTTCGAATCCTGGTTCGCCCCTATTATGTTTCTAGATATTTCAGCACCATTCCATTCCGTGCACATGGGTTTTTTTCGATGTTGTAAACGCCTGAGACCTGCAACACTTCAGTCTGTAACCCGATATCATACTCACACGCCATAATGTAACTGTACTACTTCTCAAAGTGGCACTAAACCCAACTTACTCTTAATTGTAAGTGGTGAAAGAAATATTTGCTATTCAGATGCATATGTCTGCAGTTTGAGTGTTGACAATGATGAAACGGGTCACGTTAAAGTTTTCAAAACATCACAAAAATGTTTGAATGAACTGGACAATTACCTTACTCCATATGACGTAATTCATGCATGTGATGATGACTGTATATGTTTCTATCCCTGTAGAGAACAGCATTTATGAGAACGTAGCTCTAGATGAGAGAACGACAGATAATCAGGAACCACCAATAAAGCCCAAACCTGCTACACCGGCCCCGTCAGGTACGCCGCATGATGCTAGAGACAAGGATCAGGAGGAGGAAGACTTTAATGAAGATGTTCAATCTCCTGACAACTGTTACTATAACACAGGCGCCGATGCCGCCATAAAAAACGTCGCAGTGTCAGAACTAGCTGCGACGGTGGCAACACTTAGGGAGAGAAAAGATGGATTTGCAAAGGAATATCACGTTAGTTACCTTGCGCATTCCCTGGCTTTGCATTCCTAGTTTGTGCGAGTGTTGATGAGACAAACTTTTTACCCACAATGTACGTCTAAGAAGCAAATTAATATTTGTCAGGGTTAATATTTTCTGACTTTTCGGATCTGAATTTTCTGTTTGTCATATTGTCCCTACAGCGACTACCAGCTGGGTTCACGGCGCCGTATCAAGACTCCCAGAAACCCGAGAACAGCGGCAAGAACAAGTTCAGAGGCTACTACCCTTGTGAGTAAACTGACATTGATGAATTGACATAGAAGATGTGGGAGTAAGGTTAAACTTCAACAGTGTAGAAACCAACAGTTCAAGCAGCTTAATTCAACATTTCAGACGACCATAACCGAGTCCGCCTGACACCCCTCCCAGACACTCCCGGGTCTGACTACATCAACGCAAGTCTCATGCACGTCTGTATTTTTGCTTATATGTTCTTATCATTTCATTTAATGGTCATACTAATAACTTCACTGTTATGTTTAAATCTCGTTAATCCTGACACGAGTAAATCCACCCAGACCAACACATTTCTGGATCAACTAAAACTGCTGTATATAGATGTCCTAAAGCAAGATCTTAATCAAGGCAGGATTTTGCAAACTAAGAGATTTCCCCTCTCAAGAGATTTTTCGGAATATAATATATGCTAAGATGATTAATGGGGATGTCTGCAAGGTTTAACAATCTGACTGCCCTGCTCCTTTGTTTCAGAGCTACAACCAGAGAAAGACATATATTGCATCTCAAGGTGATCATTTTCTGCATGGATACATGGTGTATTATATTTATTTGACAGATTCCTAATTCTTTTATAGTATAAGCTACACACGGAATAGAATACCTAACTAGATTTAAAGTAAACAATCTTCTAATGGTGTATTTAATTTTCATGTTCATCACTTAAAATAAGCATTTAGGGGAGATTTGACAAGTGTTTGAATTTATATCATGTATCTAGAGATTGAGGAACGGCTGAAATAATGTATTATTGTACACCAACCAATTAAAAGTGTTCCTCTTTATAAACACCCACCATTTAATGTATCAAGCTCCCAACAAGAAGACAGTGGGCGACTTCTGGAGGATGATCTGGGAACATTCCTGCAGCGCTGTGGTCATGTTGACTGGTCTCACGGAGGAGTCTAGGGTAAGATTAAATGTTACGTGAATTGAATTTTAATTTTGAACAAACCAAACTAGCAAAGTATGTTAGCTAAGGAAACACCAATGATGATTTCAATTATTTCTAAATGTTAGGTCAAATGTGAACGATACTGGCCGACAGATGGCGCCATGATCATTGGTCTCTTCAAGATAGAGGTGGAGGTAGCACAAAGCCGCTCGAACTTCACAACGAGACACATGAAAGTCACGTCCAACACTGTGAGTGCTGACAAAACCAATTACACTGCATGTCTTTATATTCCCAGTTAATGTAAAGCAGGATTCCAGCACCTCCCGCCTTTGGTGACTGCATGCGTACAACAGAGAATGCTCATTCTTCGAAGATTTCAAAGGGCATACGACCAAACTTTTTTATTGTAGACATATGGAGCAACAAAAATGATGTCCCATTCAATTCTCTTTGGATTGGATCTTCACATATATTTTTTAGTTGGCCACTTTACTTGGCTTCAAATGTTTTTGATGGGTAATGGCTTCTTCGAGAACACCTTTTGTCACAAAAAATTGATAGTAATTCATTGACACCTGCTTATCATATCGTCGGAATTGTACAATCAAATCTGCTTCAGCAAGGATTTCTAATGCTTCTTGAACGGGCTTTGCAGTTCTCAATTACATTGTTTTAAAATAATAAAGTAGCTGGGCAATTAGAACATAGGATTGGCATTTGTTTCATGTTTTTATATAAACATCTTATTTCACAGACCGGAGAGAGTCGGACAGTTGTCCAGTTCCACTTTACATCCTGGCCTGACCACGGTGTTCCTGACACTCTCGCTCTCGTCAGCTACATCTGGCTGGTCAGACAGACAGTTGCAGAGACAGATGGGCCTCTACTTGTCCACTGCAGGTAGTTTGTAAAGAACGTTCATAAGTAGACATTTCTATGGAAACATATGTGCAAAATTATAAAACAAATTCACAGCAACCATTCCTCACACATCACGTGTTAATGACGTGATGCTACATGTACATGCAAACATGTTCAAGGAATCGGTGAGATTGGTCAAATAAATATATTCATATTCATAAAATAATTAAGCTGGTATAGGATGTACAATAACACACTTGTTTACCTGTAATTATTTCAGTGCGGATATTGGACGTACAAGCCCATATATATCATGGACTATTTCAGTGCGGATATTGGACGTACGGGCACATATATGTATGTCATGGACTATTTTAGTGCGGGTATTGGACATATGGGTCCATATATGTATATCATGAACTATTTTAGTGCGGGTATTCGACGTATGGCCCCATATATGTATATCACAGCCTATTTCAGTGCGGGTATTGGACGTACGGGCACATATATGTATATCATGGACTATTTCATTGCGGGTATTGGACGTACATGCACATATATGTGCATTGTGGGCTATTTCAGTGCGGGTAGTGGACGTACGGGCACATATTTGTATATCATGGACTATTTCAGTGCGGGTATTGGGCGTACAGGCACATATATGTATATCATGGACTATGTCAGTGCGGATATTGGACGTATTGGCACATATATGTATGTCATGGACTATTTCAGTGCGGGTATTGGACGTATGGGCCCATATATGTATATCATGGACTATTTTAGTGCGGGTATTGGACGTATGGGCCCATATATGTATATCACAGCCTATTTCAGTGCGGGTATTGGACGTACGGGCACATATATGTATATCATGGACTATTTCATTGCGGGTATTGGACGTACATGCACATATATGTGCATTGTGGGCTATTTCAGTGCGGGTATTGGACGTACGAGCACATATTTGTATATCATGGACTATTTTAGTGCGGGTATTGGACGTATGGGCCCATATATGTATATCACAGCCTATTTCAGTGCGGGTATTGGACGTACGGGCACATATATGTATATAATGGACTATTTCAGTGCGGATATTGGACTTACGGGCACATATATGTATATCATGGACTATTTCAGCGCGGATATTGGACGTATTGGCACATATATGTATATCATGGACTATTTCAGTGCGGGTATTGGACGTACATGGACATATATGTATATCATGGACTATTTCAGTGCGGGTATTGGGCGTACAGGCACATACATCGCCGTGGACTCCCTGATAGACCAGGCCCGAGGGGAGGGGGTGGTGGATGTCTTTGGGTACGTGTCAGCCTTGAGGGGACAGAGGAAGAACATGATACAGACTCCAGTAGGTGTATTTATCAGTAAAAATTGTCATGACAGAGAAATAAATCGTGTTTATAACAAACCCCTTATTTCTCAATTGCCGTTTGCTTTATATACTGATGGTGGGGCACTGGAGAACAACACAACACTTTACACAAATTAAATTCTATTTAGGGTTGATATATGCGTTCTTTTTTTCCATCAATATTCTTGAGTCATGATTTGACGTACTTATTACAATGCTTTTTACCAAGGGAATAACAATTCTTAATTTGTGGTCTTTCACAATCACAGGCACAGTACGAGTGTGTCTTCCTCTGTCTGGTGGAGATGACGACATATGGCTGCACCAGCATGGACGTCTCTAACTACACCAACAGCTACAGCTGCAGCGGCATGGAAACCACCATGGACGGCAAGACTTTCAGACAGTTGTCAGAGGTAGTCAGTGTTGAAATATCAAGTGTTATGTTTGAAACAAAATCAATATTATTTAATCGTAATTACCCTCTTTTAGAATACAAATGGATAGAAGTTTCAGAAATGAGTGGATATTGTTTAACTTTTTTAAGCTCATGCAAAGACCCCAGTTAGAACTGTTTACAAAATCAAGACAAAAAGCTCTGTTTCAAAGCCCTATAGTCAGTATATGCTTCATAATTAGCCATGCTCAAATAATCGTAGTAAACAAAAGTGAATACAGCTTGTATAGTAATAAATAACATGGTGTCCAGTTTCCAGTTGTATGCCACTCAAAGCTGCATCAGTGGTTGTGACCCACCAGCCTTTCTTACTTGCCTCTACAAAGCATTGAGTATTTCTTACATTTGTTAGGGGATTGAAACATTATTGTCCTCATATCTAAGCTATTGTTTTACCGACAGCACGTGTAGTGTACACACATCTATGTTCACAGATGCTAGTGTTAGAGACGCGAGAAGGTAAGTACACACACGATGTCAGCGACCTTTCAATCTCACACGAACAGCATGCTATGAAAGCATCTCTGAGGTCTCGTTAAACGTTTCTAAGGCTCTCAAAAGTTGTTGCTGTGTTATTGTCGCAAGACAACCCTTAGAAGCGACTATTTTGTCCTGATTGCAATCCAACCTGAGATTTCTCAAGAATGCAAAGCTTATTCGTGTTAAGTTGCCTATCCCTATGGAAAGAGAGTGTAATTTAACGCACTTTGAACACTTTTTGAAATATATCACGGCGAGTGAGCTTAATGTGTGTGAGCTGAGGTGATGCATTTCCTAAACGTTTCCTACTTTGCGTACAGTGCCCAACTGGGATTAGACCTCATGGAAATCGGTACATCGTATGTCAGAACAGAACATCACAAGAAGAAAACAAATACTTTAATGGAACTGACCATCCGACCATCAAATTAGTTGACAGTACCTGCGGGTGACCCTAAACGAAAACATAATACAATGAGAGTGTGAGTCAAAATGGTTTCACGACGCTTTTTGCAATACTGCAGCAATATCACGGTGGGGGACACCAGAAATGGGCTTCACTCATTTTGTCCATGTAGGGAATCGAGCCCGGCGAGTCTTCGGCGGGACGAGCGAAAGCTTTACCAACAAGGATACCCCACCGTCCCATATTACGAAGGAAAACAGGTACAGGGAATCATTGTATTTAGAAGTAACAAGACTATCTGAGCAACCTCCTCTATTTGGATCTGTATAAAGACACTATATAATTCAGGTATTCTTACCGTTTGTGTTATAATATTTTGCAGATGCTCCGACCCGACACAGAATGTGGGTGGATGGTAATGCTGACTTCATTGTCCGTGTGGGGCCGGTAGGTGGACATGATGCAAAAGGAATATCTAAAACTGTTTTAACTCTTATTCCCTCAAACAAAGTTTTATTTAACATGATTCAAAACCTGAAATTTGTCAAGTTGAAAGACAAATCTGACTGCACAATTCACTTCAAGGAAAGAAATTCTGATCACATGAACCTTCTCATCTGTGCTGTAGACCCAAGGCATGGAGATAACACACACAACTGCACCTCATCTGCATCTGAATTCACATTTAAAGTTGTTAGGGTAGAACGCTAATATTTGTAGCATGTATCGCCATCCATGACACCAGTATATACCTCTTCTAGTCACTGACGTGTCTAAGGGGGTACCTGCAAGCCTCTGCTCCACCGCCGGAATTGGTAAAGTTGTTGTGGAAACTGGTAGAAGAGAACGATGTCCACAACATCATCGTCGTCACTCCAGACGTATGTAAATAAAAAAAATGAATATATGTGTGCATCAATTTCTAGAACTCCAGAGCAAGAAAATGTAATTCATTCTGATTGTATTTCACTTGAAGTAGGTGTTGAGAACTGCCTGAAGTTATCGTGCATCTGTACCCTGCAGCATGTGGAAATGAAGACATAATATGTTTGAACATCCATTCCATTAGTGTACATGTACCGGTAGGCGTTCCTATTGCTGTTCGGAAAGTACCTAAATTTTGGAGATGTTCTGTTTAAGATTGAGCTTGTTGAAGCAGAGGGCAGGTCAAAGACGCATGGGGAGATTACTCTGACAACAACGAGTCAAACCAGCCTGTCGACAGACGTCACCATGAACAACTTGCAGCTAGCTACAAAAGTAATAGTCCACCAGCTTACAGTAATAGTACACATGTCTACTGACAGATTTTCTTGACTAACCAAAAGCATCAAATAAGTAAATGAGATATAATATTAAGTATAGACTTTGGTTAACTGAATACTTTGTTTGGTCACTGTCTAATATTACTTTGATCCATCATCATGAGACCACTGGTGACAAACGATTTCAGTCACTACAGATATTCGCTTAGCTCAATGAATCATTTGACATGGACATTTTTGTCGCTGTACTATTAAGGAAATATCAATCATGAATGATAATCGTGGAAGGTTGGAACACAGAAATTATTACACAAGAACTTCCTCAATAACGCATGTCCAAAACATCAGCTTTAGACCGTCTGTGTGCCTATCGTTCATTTTTGTGATAAGATGAAAGGTACCATCCAAGTTGAATGCAGTAAGTACAAAAGCTTCTTGAATTTCAACTAAAAAAATGTTACCTGTCGATAGCTAACCACAGATATGTTTGTATGAGTTGTTTTCTCCTGACAGCGAGATAAACAATAGGGCAATGTATATGCAAGGAAGTTAACCCCGTTTTGTCAAAGGACAAGTGGGTTGTTATTACCGTTCATAATATTTACAATTACTGCGTAAAATCTCCAATGCGCATATTTGAAGTACATGTTTAATATATCATGTGATGAAACATTTATTGACCTAATTTGGGGCAATATCATGTTTTATGGACAGCAATTTTCTGGGTCCATAAATACCCTCATGAAAGGTCACTAACTATTTGTCAAATGTGTTACACAGGCAGGCAGCCCACGGCAAATCAAGATGGTCGACGTCAATGCAAGCTTAACTATGGGAGTTATGACATCACATTTGTTGAACCACGCCCAACTGCAAGAAATATCAACTCAACCCCACCCTGTTGTTGTTGTTCACAGGTGAGACTGCTGGCAGACGCGAAACAAATCATTTCTTTCCTTATACACACAGTTTCTCAATCGTGAAACGTAATAACTATGACAGGAAATACTTAAACTGTGTCTATGTTCACCTGCAGCGACACTGACCGAAAGCTTGCTGTCTCACTCTGCATTATGGGTAATATTCTGTCCGGTATTCGTGAGGAAACTCGTGTCGACGTCATCGGTCACGTGAGGACATTTCTCAGATGTTGCCCTGACTTCCGGTTCACCCAGGTAGGGACACTGGAGTTCTCATTTAACCGTTGTGATATATTTACGAAACAAAATATACATACTTAATCAATTGTGATACAAACACATAAAAGACACTCATACCGAAATACAAACAAGTAATATTGGGATACCGTTCATATTTGACACTGCGTTACATTGCCCTTGACATCGACTGTAGAAGTACAGTCACATCCATTGGAAAAATTGCTCTTTCTCTCTGTTGACATTGAGGTGAAGTGACAGTTAACTGGAATTCCAGAAATATGATCAAAATGTAGGACATGTATAAAGGAAACTGGAAGTAGTACACCTTGGAAAGTTGAATTGATATCAGTTGTGGCAAAGAAGATTGGCTCGTAGCTAGCAGATAGATGATCGCTGTTGACTAGAGCTATGTATGTCATTCAAGTTATTTAAGAGTCGCTGTACTTGTAAACTTCTAGGAATGTTATTGCCACTGATGAATGTTATTCCTACTGTTTCAGTGCTAAACACAGTGATTTGTGCTTCCTTGTAAAAACTCATGCTTTTTACGACACTTTCTGTTGTATAATACATGGTAGACGGAGACTTTGATGTCGCCCGAAACCATGGCATGATGTGATGTTATCTATGGCCATCCGTGGTATGTCTGATAAATCCACTTCCAAAATCTAGAATTTGGTTTTGGTTTTTCAGAGTGATGTGCAGATGTTTCATGACTTCGCCCAGCAGTGTATCCTGAGAACAGACCCAGCAAATACCTATGCCAACATCTGAACGTAACATCAAACAGTCCTAATGGACCACATTAAACTAGTACCTGTGCTAAAATCCGAACCTACGGCCAAACAATGCAGTCCGCAAACCCTGATGCCAGAAAAATATCATTGTCTATATTGTATCCAAAGAACTCCATTTAACTTGCAGTTGTTATCTCTGTGTCGTAATCATGCTGCATTATTGCAATGTTAATATACACCAAATGTTATGTTTCTTATTTATGTAATAATACGACTCCAAACCACAGTAATTAATGAAGGATTTCACTTTTCAAGTACCCATATAGGTTTTTTCACGGAATCAATAATTTCACATAGATGCGTACTACTTCCACATAACTTTACATAGATGCGTACTACTTCCACAGACTTTTACATAGCTGCGCACAACTACCACAGAATTTCACATGGATTCGTACTCGTTCCACTACATTGCACATAGATTGCTCCCAGTTCCACATAATTGCACATTGATTCGTAAAAGCTTCACGTACTTTCTCAGTCAGCATCTGTGATTGAGCGCTCTTTGTCGCTGCAAACTTCGTCAATGTAGTCATAAACAATATGCTTTTAAGGGGAACCAACAAGATCATCATCTAAATTTAAACTGAATATCTTGTCGCAGGCCTGTGATATGGCTACTACAAATGTTATGAAGTAACTGTTCTGTACATATATTGACGCCGACATCACGCTACTGTTTTATTTGCTTATCGACATTTGTAACAGGTTTAGGTAACATGCTCTGTATATGTAGATAGGAATTAAAACAAATATGTATAATGTTTACACATCATATTTGTGCGCGATGTATGTACATCATGAATGTACGTCTATACGTCATATAAGTACGACATCAAAGACATACTTCATGGATGCTCATCGTTGATGTACTTATATGTGTGGGCATGAGCATTCCCCAACCAACCCCCAACCCCATTACGTGTAGTTTTCCCTCTCCCTCCACATTATTTATAACATATCCGATATGCGTTAGATCGTTATATTCGAGTTGCTTATGTGTGGAGGTTTGTTTTAGCTGGTAAAAAGTCTGCGTTAAGATGTCAATTGATATTGAAACAAATAGTATTTTAAATATTCTCACTATCAAATCGTTGTATTTAATCAATTCTGTTTTTTTATATGTAAATGTAAAGTATAGTTCATTTAGTATACACTGCCAAACACTTCTATATTGTTTTTTCATGACCAATTTTTTATCGCCAATGAATTACATCCAAGTATTTCACCAGGCACGCTCGGACATGAAGGTGGATCGGTTCTCAGGAGTGCGTTTGTCAGATCCAGTTCTTCTTTAAAATACATTCAAAAGTTCACTTCAGGCTCTGTTGTGAAGCTTTTCCCTGAAAACAAACATTCGAAACTGAGATATTTTCACTGATGAGGAACGCGCTGGTACACTCTCTCTACTGTCTAATCAAAGGGTAAATATTTCACCAGTAGGTATAACTCGTTAGTATGTACCAAGCAAAGTGCTTTTCTATCAAGAGTGTTGTACTACTTTCATTTAATGGTCTCTTCGTTTCAAAAGGTGCATCTAATAATGTCGTATTTTGGCACCGCTGTATCCTATGCAGCATATGACCACACTCTGATCTCCTAGGCAACGAAATATCATTTAATCAATGTACGGTAGTAGTTCATTTGTTATTTTGGAGTATTACATACCCATGTGAATAGAATAACTAACAGGAAGCGATTGTATGCCTATTCAAGTCTTTAGCAGGGCTATTACAAACGTGTATGGTAAACGTAGGTGGAGATCATTTGCAAATTGACGCATCCCTACTTGACTTGCATCAAACGTACCCTTGCGTTCAGGTAAATGTTTGACTTGCCTTTGCATGTGTTATAACTTGCCGTTTTTATAACTTTTTAAATTTCACTGTCGTGTGTGAATAGGCAGACATCTACGCGATCAACAGCATAATCCAGTTGAGTCAAACGCAATACTACTTCATACATGTCATTTCGTGACACGTATTAATTAAATACCATTCAACGGCCTACCTTTAGCATTAATCTATTATACTGCTGAGGTTCGTATAACTTCCGATACCTTAACATAGACTGTCGTCGCTACGATCGCCTTGCGGAACGGGGCCCTGCACCACCAGGTTTACAACCACGTCACAATACTCCATGACGTAATTTGTGAAATTTTGTTCCAAGACACACCGGCGAAACAATACCATGTGACGTCAACCTGGCAACACGCATGCTGCGGTCATCGAATGTGCAAAAGCTCTTCCCAGTGATCCATCATCTCTGCACGCAATGTTGTTGAATTAGCCAAGAGATGTTAAGAGTTTTCAATATTTATTTGTGAAACTTGTACTCGCAAACAATAAGACCGCGCTTTGTTATTAAACACTGTGTAATGCCAGCTTATTGTTTTTAAACGGGTGATCTCTTCACTGGCGAGTAGTAAAATGGTTTGTAAAATATGAAAAAGATGGAGTGCATATACTTTCTTCCGAGTGTATTAAATGTCCACATAGAGGCATTTAACCCACAGTTGCCAGTAATATGTGTTCTTAGTATGGCGATGTGTTCTGCCACTCATGTACCAGGCTCCTTCCCAGCGCGTGACACCTTCGTTACACTCTCGGTAACACCGCTGCCGCCATAATGGGCGCGGCCATTACAAGAATCTTAAAATGTACACTCTAATCCCGAATGTAGTAATGTTTATACTTTTGTTTATGTCTTTGGGAATGCTGTCATAGTTAGTCTTGAAAAAGTTTACGACTGACCATATTTCCCAGATGAATATACCTTCCTGTTTGTTTGATCAGATTGGTTAGAGTTGCAGACGAACTGATAAGCAACCAACTTCGATCTTACAAGTCTTACCAATTACATGATAGTTGTAATGAAACAGAAATTCAAATTGACGAACATAGAAAATAAAATAGCAGAGGTAAGACTATTCGGCGTCACGAAAGTCATCACTTGACTTTGCTTTCAGGTGGACAAGTGGTTTGTTACGGGTGCCACCGGTGGCGCAGGATACGCTCAACTTTTCCGCGAATACCTGGTATAATCACTTTTTGATAGTGATTCATTAACATGTCCTCGTACTCTGTTGTTGACAGAGCTTTCTATTACTATTCCTAGAAACTAATACCTGTTACAAGTTTGGAAATTTTAAGTTATTTCCGAGTAACGCCTACTTTTTTAAGAGTATATTTGGTATCCAGAATGGTGCACCAGCGACATGAAGGCCATGGCCATGATACTTTTGTTGGATATGTTTTACTAATGTAACAGTTTATTATGTATATATTAACCCGGGTTTTTTATAACACGTTGTCAGCACTTTCAGGACAATGTCTATAGCATGATTCTCTTCATCTGTACCGGGATATTGATATATGATTGCCCTACGGGTCTGGTGCACAAGTGTGCACCTCCCGCATCTAAAATATTCCTTCCCAAATTGCCTCTGCACATTGTTCATTTCCGTCCCAGGCGCAAAGTGAGATGAAGTTCGATTTTACCTGTAATTTATTCGAGGACAATACACTGTCAGGGGATGTTTTGTCACGAGATCATCACAGGGTTACTTCATCAAGACAAGATCTTCATCGTATTGCAACATCTGCACTCACTCTTTGGCGCATCTGAAGATCCTCCCATGTTCAAACATGTCTATAGCGTTTACATGTATGTAAATATGTATATATTGAAAGATTCCGAGTGTTTGTCAGTAGCAAAAATAGTGCATTGTTCGTCCTGAAAATAATCAGACCACCTTCAAATTAAAAATTTCAACGCCAGATTATAAGATTGTTACATAAGATTATTTGCATATTTGATTATTTGCATGCTGAATATTTATAGTCAGCAAATAAAGTGTTGGACATTGTTGCGAAGAAGTTGTTTCTGTTTGCAAGAACGATACAATGAATCTTAGCACAACATTTCAGTAATGTGCCAAATGAATGACAAGCCACATACATACCCCTGATACCACCTGTTATGACAAATACGTTATATCAGTATTGAAGTAGGGAACAGTGGTATAAGATATAAAGGATTCAGCATGAATTAATTAATACATAATACAATATTTGATATGGCTAATGCACCAATCAATGCATTGAAGCACTCTGACTTGGTAGCATCGGTTCCAATACATGAATACACTTAATGTGCACAGCCTGCTTTTATTATTGGTCACCTCAATTATAACACGTAAGTTAAGTATTTCCCTTGTTTTGTTTTGGAATTCCCTCGAAGTAGAACCTGTGTAAATACTTACGTGTCATTTCTGTGCGCCAGTTCTCTGTGACTACAACAATTACCTTCTTTTCCAGATCCCTAGGCTAGGAATCTGATCACACACACACACACACACACACACACACACACACACACACACACACACACACACACACACACACACACACACACACACACACCATACCACTTCACACAGCACCAGGCACATGTCACACACATATATATTATACGAGGGGCGTATGTCAACAATGTCAACCTGTGGCATGTGTGACACTAGTCATAACATCAGGTTGACACGTGTCATAAAGAGTTCAAGACACAACAATAAGTTAGATGTTTAGTCACTCGTAGGGGCTGTTGGTTTGTAACTCACTGGTGTTGCAACTGTTGCCAAGCCATCCTGACGTACAAATTCCGTTGGGACAGACACCGTCTACGTAGTTGCACACATCATCGTCAAAGTGGCAGTAGTTGTCACAGTCAGAGCCGAAAGTACCAGGACTGCACACTGTCACAAAGATGTTTAATTCACTTCGTACACCAAACAACAATTTATCCACATGTACTTCATAGTTTAATGCAACCATTTATAAGCATGCGTGTCTACAGATCTTTTGTTATATCTTACTTCCTTGCATCTAATATTTACTCTTTCATGTATATTTGATTCACTCTATGACTTAATTGTATTAGATGACTGACATTCCATAGACGATATCAATAGAATTATAACACAATAGAACATCAGTATTTCATAGAGACATATCCATTATTTTAAAAAAGTGTCTTCCTGTATCACATTTGTTTCGCTTTTAATAGTTTCATAATCACTGATTGCTTACGTCAAAATGAAACGTCAACGCCAGAAACTAAACAGTCTAGATTATCCGTCTAAAACGATTCCATAAGGCGTAAAAGGCAAATTAGCTATGAAAATAATATGAATGGATCATTAATTTTCAGTGATGACACCAGGTGTTGGCGAAATCTCTTGGACAATGTATACCGAGCAATAAAATCACACAAACACAAACCAACAATAGACCCACACTAACGAACAATAGACCAACACAACTAACAATAGCCCCACACAAACTAACCATAGACCCTCACTAACTAACAATAAACCCACAGAAACTAACAATAGACCCACACATACAAACAACAGACCCATACAACTAACATATCCCTGGTATTATCAGTTGCAGCCACTGGTCCTTGATGCCAATCAATAAAGATACTAAACTCACAGTCAAGTCTGAAGAAGAGGGTGACCTCACGTATCAGCACTGTGTCATTGAGATCCACACGCCACCAGCTGGGATTGCCGGGGTTTGTCTCTATACAGTTGGGGTTGCTGGGCACCGTATTCATACAGACAGGATACGTGGATGCATCATTGTTCCCGTCTGTAGCAAGGGACGACGGGAAATTGTTTTCTCCACTGGATGATGTAGCCTTCTTCCTCGCCACATTTTCTAGAAAATGCATCAATAAGTTATTTCTTTCCAAGCCATCCTATTTGTTTGTATTCAATATCTTCAGTCAGCGGTTAATCTCTATTTTTCGTCTTGTACCCTACATTTAGATCGGTGATATTAACATTACTTAGATATGTCAAAGTGATTTCAAATTTGTTTACACACAAAACCGAGCAAGGTACATGTATACTGTTTATGAAGTTAATGTCGAGCTTCGACATATGTGAGGGTTGGTGGACTTTAGGTCCTACAATACAGATGGGCTTTTCTTTATTTTCCTTTCTGCTCGACGAAAAATGTATATGTATATACCATAATCTTATCGTACACTAACACCAACCCTTAATCCTCTCTTTGACATTCTGTGGTAATTACTGTTATTATTATTGACGACAAGACATATTTTCACAACCAAGAAGTCGAACATCATTACCTATGGTTTCATGACATATGTATTTCCTCTAAGATTTATGAATGAAAGAGGTGTGAATCCATGTACATACTTTAACCAGACACAAATGACTACAAAGAAGCTGCAACAGTTGGACGCTTGATTCAGTTGTTGAAAGACGGGAAATTCGTATGGTCAATATTAGTGACGTTTCTATCGTCAATAGGATGTCAGTACTTGTGTTTGTTGTTGTAGTCACATATGTGTCTGACATGTCGGACCAGACGATCCTGGGTGACAGGCTGGCGGACTGCAGCCGGAAGTAGAATCACACTTGTCTTGGTCACAGTTACATCTGTAGCCACACTGAAAACCGAATGTACCATCGGGACAGCTACCTGTAACAGAAGTATTATATCAGATAAAGACAGTGAAAATGAAAACATTTGTATTTAATCAGAACAGCCGCCTGTAACATAAGTATTATATCAGATATAGACAGTGACACGGATAGCCGTATGTACCATCAGGACAGCTGCCAGTAACAGAAGCATTATATCAGAGATAGAAAGTGACACCGGTGTACCATCAGGACAGCTGCCAGTAACAGAAGTATTATATCAGAGACTGACAGTGACACTGGTAGCCGTATGTACCATCAGGACAGCTGCCAGTAACAGAAGTATTATATCAGGGGCTGACAGTAGCACTGGTAGCTATATGATTAATCAACCCACATTCACATACACATCCACGGTAATCGGCAATACTGATTGATTCCGTCTCTTCTGTCAAAAGTGTAATTTCTGTCCATAAACTTTAAAAAGGAGTATTCAAAGTATGTGTAGCAACATATTTTGAGCAGAACGTACCGTGGAAATCAAGCAAGAAAGTGTATTCAAATACTAGTCGCAAGAGAAATGGTGTGCTGTTCATCAGTCCAAGAACCAAGTTGAATAAAACAGAACTCTAGAGTGACTTCGAAGAGAACTGCTTTTGTTTGACAACCACTCAGTTCTGGCGTGAGAAATAAATCGCAGTTATGTTAAATCCCGCAGTGTGTCATGACAAAACTAAATCCTACCATGAAGTGACAACACTGAATCCTTCCATGAAGTGACAACGCTGCATCCTACCAGGAAGTGACAACACTGAATCCCACCAGGACGTGAAAACACTGAATCCTACCAGGAAGAGACAACACTGAATCCTACCAGGAAGTGACAACACAGAATCCTACCAGGAAGTGACAACTCAGAATCCTACCAGGACGTGACAACACTGCATCCTACAATGAAGTGACAACACTGAATCCTTCCAGGAAGTGACAACACTGAATCCTACCATGAAGTGACAACACTGAATCCTACCAGGACGTGACAATACTGAATCCTACCATGAAGTGACAACACTGAATCCTACCATGAAGTGACAACACTGAATCCTACCAGGACGTGACAACAATGAATCCTACCAGGAAGTGACAACACAGAATCCTACCAGGAAGTAACAACACTGAATCCTACGAGGAAGTGAACTGCTCTGGTTTGAGAACTGCTCAGTACTAGAAATTAGATGAAACTGAGCTACAGAGGATTATACCTCGGACCCAAACCAAAGTACATTGCGTTAACTCACAACTTTAGATTAGGTATTGCTCAAATAAATTCATAAATGTACATTTACATTTGCCTTTCATCATCTGTGACCAGAACAAAACCCATTCTGATTCCATAAGAAATTTCTGCTAAAAGCAGACTCGATTGCATCATGAGCAGACTCTATCAATATCATATTAAGCGTTGTACCTTATTCACATGCATAAAATATGTGTATTTCATAACGTTATGTATTGAAGAATGTATTGCTCAATGCTTAAACGCCGGTAACGCTCTAACAGTTGCTCTATCTAAGAAAAGACATCCCCATCCGACATGTTGTTATTGTATTTCTATTTTAACTGTCAGCGTAGATGAGCGTACCTTGAGAAGGGGAAACTGAATAAAGACGTGAACTTGTGGCGGTGTTGTGAGGACATGCAGGGAGAAATATCAGTACAGAACATACTCACTATCAGCAAGACCACATAATTTAAGAAACAAACGATTCGTGGTCGTTGTTTATCGTACAATAAAACACTGTAGGGAGAACAAACCATGAGAGGCGCATTTGAGATATCAACATCATGTACAGCCTCTTTAATGATGATGATAAAATGTACAAGCATTGGACATATTTACCCGTATTTTAATAACGATGACTCCCTGAATACAATCCGACCTCGGCAATACGAGACAATTTCATTTTATGAACAGGTAGGTTTGGTATTTCCCGCATATTCTCACACTCATCACGTAATGATTATCTGTACCTTTTCTCCCAATACCGATTGTCATATCTCTCCCACGTTTGGATGCTCATCTGCGTTACTCAGCTAAATCTAGACACTCCGCTTTCCAAAATAACGTCGTCCAATATACGCCGTCATCAAGTTGTGAGCGCAAGTTCGAATCTCCAGACATTACGTCAATTATGGAACATGTTATGTTTTATCGTTCTTCATTGTTCTTTGCGATTCATCACTGTTTCTATGCATTGAGTAAGACTAAGTAGGGCATCAGGTCAAATAGTGAAATGAAAGTGAAATGAAAGCAACAGCCATCAGTTTACTGATAATGTTTTATGTGTAATATTGTACTTCCTCAAAGATAACATCAAAAAGACCGTGCGCACGAATTGTGCCCCTTCAACCT